AATAAAATATCGATATTATTTCTCAAGGTTTGAAGTGAAAAAGCGAATGTCTTAGGTTTAACGGCTTCACCTAAAATTCGACGCAGCGTACACAAATATTTAACTTCACCACTTGTACGTCCGTATTACACAAATACGTCAGGTCCATATCTTAAAATCTACGAAATGATAGTCTTAAAAACTGATGCTTTATTAAATTCAGATTTATTGTATTCATGGTACAAAAAGGAGGTAGAACAGCTTCGTAAAACTACAGAAATACAAGCCTGAGGCTATGCCCGCTTTCTGTCAGCCTCATTCAAAATTATATGCAACAAGTTCTTTCAATTTCATGGCTAAACTGATTAATAGCTTTAATGCGTGAACCGCAATCTACGTGTCTTCCGCGCCTTAGCTTTTATACCCTCCACCATAGTATGGAGGATATATTAAGTTTGTAACATCTCGAAATATACATTTTGACCCCACAAAGTATATATATTTTTGATCAGCATAAACTTCTGAGTCGATTTTGCAATGTCCGTCCGTCTGTGGAGCTTCTGAACGAAATGAAGTAAGTTGATAAAAATTTACTCAAATGTGTATTATGTCTGCAGGACTTTTGGTATTGAAAATGGGCCATGTAGGTCCACGTCTTCGTATAGCCCTCATATAACGGTACCTCCCGATATGCGGTATTTTGATGATTTTAGCGACATTATTTACCGGAACTATTTCAAATTTGGTATTTGAAGTTCGTAATGAATACTACAGCCTATGACAGAAAATTGTCTGTGCAGGTCCACGTTTTATAACCCCCAGACAGATTATTTTCAAGTTTCACGTTTGAATATTGTAATAGCTTATGACAAAAGTTGCCTATGCAGGTCCACGTCGTCGTATAGACCCTAATATACGGCTACATTCTGTATTTTTAAGATTTTAACAGAATTTTTAACAGATTTAATTTTTTTGAAAATTGCCAAATATGTACCAAAAGGTGGAGGTATTCAAAGTTCGCTCCGGCCGAACTTACAGCTTTTTTACTTCTTTATTGTACCATGATTGTATTATTAATTTATAATTTCAACACACACAAAAAGAAATTATTCAAGTGTCAATGTTGAAATTGTTCAACTTTGAAATTTCGTACACCCGACGTATTTTGGTAGCTGCCATATAAATACATGTGTTTTCCTTGGATGGTAAAAAACGTCGACTGAGTACGTCAAACTTTAGGTAACGTTGTTAAAATGTAATTTAAAATTTACAGTAAAAAATTTAATTTTTATTAACTTTATTTTTGGTTTGTGGTGGATTAAAAAATCATTGTTCTATGCAGTTCAGCATAGAAGGCGAAACAAGACTGTTGCTTTTCTCAAAAATATATCTCTGAAGACGACTGGCGATGACAGTTCGAATATAGATCGAATCTAAGCGAAATCATGATTGTAATCTTAATAAGCGTTTAATAACTAACCACAGTCCAAATTAAATAAATTGATACAAATTGTCTTTTATAAACAGAAAATGTTTAGTTTTAATTTGGGTTTTTGGTATTTTAGACTTCAGTGATTTATTTCATTTATTAGCCTTCAGTAATTTATTTCTAAAAAAATTATTATTTTTATTATAGAAACACATCCATGGTATTTATGATATATTCCAAAACTGAATGTAAAACTTTTTACTATGATAACCGGTTTTCTTCTTATGATAACAAAAAAAAATTACAAAACTTGTAGGTTATTGCCGGTTTTCCTACAGAGCATTTTTGATTTTAAAACATCCATCAAGATTTTTTAAACAAAACTTCGACAAATTCGTTTATCTGACAGGGTGACGTTTCTACTTGCAACGCCATCGGTTGTACTCTTTCAATTTTCTTCTTTTTGCAAATATTATAAAAGTCAATATAAACTGCCCCGACTTGATTGAATTGTTGAATAAACAATGATGCTGAGCAAAGTCGAAAGAAACAAATCACAGTTGTGATTGCTCACTTCAATTTACGTGATCGATCAACTCATGTTGGTGATGAAATCTAACCGTCTCAAACACGAGTGAAGTGATTTAAATTGAGTGTTAGACTCAAACTGATATGGAAACATATCATTTCACTCAGATCAAACCGAACCACTGCATTAATATGTAAGAAACCTAGTTTTATTGAATTATTGGTACTCATTGCAGACTTCTGGTCCGCATTATTTAAAACCAATCATATGCAGGCTGATTGGTATTGAAAAAGTGCGATATGGGTTCACGTTTGGGTACAGGCCCCATATAACGGGTAAAACTTGGCAATTGGGGCTCTCGGTTCTCTCCTTGCAAAAAATGTTTGGTTCAGGGCACTAATTGTATGACACGGTACATTACGATTTTCGGCATTTATTCCAAGATAAATGGTAAAAGCATATCTTCGTCTATGTAAACAGACCTTATAATTGCAACACTGATTTTAATAAGATATTCAAATGTCTAAAATTGGGGCCCAGGTGCGTGGTTGGGATATTCGTTTTAGAAGGGTACGAAAAGTATTAAATATGGTACCGTTTGTATTGAGTGAACGGATAGAGCTACGATTCTAAAATAAGTCATTGGCCCATTGTAGCACAGATGTGTTTCAAGGAAATTCGAGCTTTAAGTGTACAAAGAGTTCTAAAAGGTGCTAATTTGGTACCAGTACATAAGGGTACATAAGCAACTTGGCATTATGGCTAGGCATATTAATGTAAAATCATAAGGGGAGCCGATTTGAGTGCGGCTCTGGCATCCCTATATGATATGACACAAACTATGCCACGCGAAGACTTCAAGCTGCTTGTGAACCAACCCCTTTAGCGCCAGAGTCATTGGAAAAGTGCATAAGCTTATTGTCTCCTTTTAATATTATATTGTAAAATATTTAACAGAATATTGATTTCTTTTATGAATTCCTTAACATCTTCATCATCATATGTGAATGATACTCTGTTATAATTGAAGTGTTAAATTTTATGTCAGTTGGTGTGTAGGCATAAAATGAAATATTTTGTTCTTTTAAATATCTCATATAATTATATTTATCATAATTGCTCCGCTTCTGTTTTGTTCAGCTATAGCATTTCCTATTAACGTTTTTGATTTCGCTCTTTAAAGTCATTGTTTATTTTTTTTTTTCACTGCATACAGTTCTTTTAGGCGCATACATATTTTTTTCTTTAAATTCTTCCATTTGTTCTTCAGTAGAAACAATGTTTTCTTTTTCTTTTAATTTCCAATGTTTTAAAACTATCATAGTCAACGGCTGCACATATTTTCTCTCATTGTGTGTGTGTATGTCACCAGCATTATCGCTTGGACCAGACTTTGTTAAGTGCCTCGTATACGGTCAAAATGCATGACATGACATGTATTTTGGGGTGCTAGGAAAATGTTTATATGTGCGTCACATCCACGATGCATGAAATAAAATTAGATTTTTTACGTCTTCTCGTGTATGAAGTATATGCATATTCTCATTTTTGTCGTCTTTTCAAAGCGAATGGGTGTAAAGAAATGTCGGATACAACGGGGAAAAAATGTTATTGGAAGTTTACAGATCGTTGCCAGCACTTTGGGATGCAAAATGTAATGTAAATGTAAAATATAGCAACCGCCAAAACTGATTCGTCCTTTATCGATATTGTCTGTACAGTACGAAATCAAAAGCAAAATGAATGCATTAACCATGTGCGCTGAAAGCTTCATACCAGAGGGCTTCAACGAGAATGAAAAAATTCAATCATACTCGGTTTCTTACATGATTTTTATTGATGCAGTCTTTTGGTTTAATCTGAATGAAATAATCGTTTTCGTATCGGATCGAATCGAATCGACTCGAGCGCTCAGTTTGAATCACTTTAATCACAATCAAACATTAGTGTTCGGGGGCGTTTGATGTGTTCATTGAATTGAAGTGAGCAATCACAAGTGGGATTTTTTGTTTCAATGGAGTTCGGTCAGCATCATTGTTTATTCAACCATTCAATCAAGTTGAGACCGTTTATTTTGAATTTTATAATATTTGAAATGGAAGAATATTGTGATGGTGCGACCGAAATTGTTGCAAGTAGAAACTACACACTGTGTAGATAAACGAAAAGGCCGAACTGATATTGTAAAATAAATAAAAATATTTAAACATTTTTTGCTTACTAAATACCATTGAAGTATTTCTTTATTAAAAATATTAATTTTGTTTTTTAAAAATAAGTCCTTAGTAAAATTACAGTCATGATTTCGCTCAGATTCGAACATTTGTGTTATAATCAAATCAAATCACTCACTTAACTAGGATGAATGAAACCGATCAGACTCATCATAGATGATCGAACGTTATGACAACTCAACATAAGTTCGTATACAAATGTGAGCTGTTTGATTTCGAACACAAAGCCTCATGTTCGCTTGCAATTTTTTCGTTTCACATGAGCAACTCGAATAAGCACGTTACATATGACCGACAGTTTGTGTTTGATTCTGTTCTCCCTCTGCTTCATACACACGTACAAAATTTTGATTCCATGCATTTTGACCGTGTCGGGGCAATTAAGGTTTTCCGTTATTGGCGTTTGAAGCAATTATTAATTTATTTATTATTTTTATTGATATTATTTATTTGTATTTATTTATTTATCTTTTTTTAATATGAGAGTAATCAGCTATTACTTTTTTCAAAAATCTTGCATAAAGGCCCCTTTTCGGCTCTTTGGGGGTTTTATAAACAATCCGGGAACAAAAAATCGATAATTGACTATAACTTCCGAACTTGGATAGTTATTTTCATAAGCTTTCCAACGATACCTATATTGTCTATTTCGGGTAATTGAATCCGGGTCTAGTCGGGGTCTTGAACCCAAACTTTTGGATCAAAAATCTGGGATCCCGTCCCCAAAAAAAAAAATAATTTCTTGGGATCGGGCAAAAATGCCTACCACTGGAAAATATTTCGAAAAGATTGAAGAGTTTTTACTTAACTAGAGTTAAGTCAAACTCACTTAAGGTATAATGTGTAAACTCCAAACTTGGTTTCAAATAAAACGAAAATACCAACAATTAGTGAAGGTTTACGAAGAGCACTTAAATATGAACACAAGATTTGCGATTCGGTAAACGCGACTACTTGCTACAAAAGATGAAACTGTATAGAAGCTTCTACTTATTCAACTTGAATGCGCTATTTTGTATTTTGTCTTAAACGGGAAACTACCGATTTCATTTACTTCAGATAAGAATGATAGCCTACGTTATGTCAGCAACGTTGCTAACTATCCATAACATCGATTTTTTTCCAAAACTACAGGGTAACGCAGAGAAGCGTAATTCACATTATTACTTTTTCATCTGTGCGACAATTTATAAAATTATGAATGAAAATGCCCAAAAAATCAAAAAAAAAATAAATGTAATCTACAAGTTTTGCAATTTCATCCGATATCATCGGTTATCGTAGTAAAAACTCATGCAGTTCTGGAACAGAACAGACCAAATAACAATAAAGCTTGCTTTTCCAACAGAACATTAAACAGAAAAATGTTTTTACTACTTTCTTTTACGTTGCCGTTCATTTACTGTTTGAGATGACCTAGTACTGTTTAATGCCATATAAAACGTCCAAAAATGTAAATTGAAAATAATTTATAAAAATTATAAATTACAAATACTTTTGTCATATATTTGCTCTGTTCCACATTTTATTCGATATCATAAAGGGAAATCCAAATCAGTTGATAGAACAAACTCCAATTTTCTCATATCTCACCGGTGTTTAGGACAATAATTGGGCTCTGAAACGTACAAAAAATTGCAAATGCCAAAATATAGAAACATAGGAGCATTTTCGCATATTTATGATATCGAAAAAAAATGCAAAAACGGTTGTTTCTTGCAGGTTCTGGAACAGAACAAATGTATATTAAATAGGCGGTGTCATGGTAGAATTACAAGGTAACCCTTTCAGGCCAGCTGGTATCAATTTGATATGTCAAAAAATTGTTGTAATTTGAATTCGCCTTCATTTACACATAAGAAAATTGTTGCATGATTTCAAACTTTAACAATGCTATTGATAGAAAATCGAGATTTTACGTTTTTATAGAGTATGAGGGAAAAAGTGTATATTCAACATATGGTAGGCATAGGTAATATGGAGATCTAAAATTCGTGGATATTTGAAATAAGTGAAACAGGGAATCAATTTTATTTAGGAAATAAACCGATACATGGAATTTCATCATCTTATTTGTACGGATTTTCAACTATGTTATACACTATAGGGCTTCAACAGTGAAAGGTGAATGATTCCAAAGCATATTGGATTGGTTTGGGGAACAAAATATTGGCAATTTTTGGGGTGTGATTAAATATTGAGATAATTTTTTATTTCAAATTGTTCGAATGTATTAAAGTTATCTATGCTTAAAAGACTTCCTGTCTGCTATACATTTCATAGCTGAGCAAATAATATGCCTGGACTCACAGTAGACTCAGCCCCCCTGTATCTTCTGCAATCTTTGATCCAAATCTTAAGTAAGCCTGAGGAGTAAATATACCCTAAAGTACCTTTTAGGTAGCATGTCACTACAGCGAGAAAGCTGACGATGTAGCAAAAGAAAAAAGGGTACACCCCAGAACCACCACAAAACCTAATTTTAAAGCATCAAAAATAATTTTCCGGATATTTTCTTGTAAAGAACATTATCGCTGTTGAATATGAAATCAACGTTGCCAACGTTACCAAGACTGCATGCTGTGTAAGGATGATGAAGAGATAACAACGATTGGACATCTATTATCGCAAATGTCCTTCGTTGGCGCCCTAGAGACTACAATCACTCCATTTCCAGTCTATGTGATTTTCAAAAATGTTGTATTGAACGTGCTATAATCAAACCAAGATGCAGCGGCTTCAGCATTACTTTCAATCGATGTTGGAAGTTTTGAATATTTGCTTTTGTAATAGAAAAAACAACAATTTTGAAAATTTTTAATTTAATATTTTGATTGGAAAAATAATTTGCCCCAAATTTTGTACTTCAAATCAATTCGCCCTGACTACAACTTTGACATATCAAGTTTCCAAAAAAGTTGCTTTGTTGTAATTTTCGCCTATGTTGCTACCTGGTATTTCTACCATGGGCGGTGTCATCGGCATATACTAAAATCTGGTGAAATAATAAGAATTGTATGGTTTTTCTCTTTTTGCATTTCTTTATCTCGTTGTGTTCCCTTGCCTTGTCCCTATAAGACCGTCGATGACATTAATTAACACGTTTTCGATTTGTGACATGACATTTTATTTATTTTGTAATTAATACTATAATACAAAAATATTTAATTTTAGATCAACATAAAAACAGGAATAGTTAAATTTATGTTGTACAAGTACAATTATTGGGCAGAATGATAGTTTGCATTAGAACTAGGCGAGGAAATAAGTTGAGTTAACCTAAGACAATTTTGGCTTCTTTTCCCTGTACAATGATTTTTTGCCCATTAAAAAGACAAAACTCTCGTTTTACATATGCGAACAATAAATCGGTAACTAGGAATATCTGCAAAATAAAATAACATATTAGCACTCTCCTCTTGTATTTAAAAAAGGAAAAATTTACCTGTCCAGTAGAAAATGCTAAGGTTGCACCAAAATAGAAATTAGCATTAGCAGACCCTGAATAAATCCACAGATGCCATAGAGCTGGTAGCATGCACAGTGATACCACAAAGAAACAAAATACAATGAAATTGTGTACCATAACTGTAAAAAAATTAGGTTAATAAACATTGCTATCAAATAAATAAAACAGAATAATTTACATTTCCATGAGCGTTTCCATAGAGGCAATAGTGCTAAATAGAAAGCAACATCACCAACACAAGGATAAGCTCTAAATATCGACATTAGTCCAATCAATATTGTAGCCAAAAGTATTGGCTCTTTGCGTAGTTTTAAAGACAAAGGTACTAAATACAAGACTGTTGCATTCATTTGGAATGTTATTAAAAACATTGTGCGAAAATGTTCAAACATTTCAGTAAAGAAATACCAGAATAATCCAATATTTGGTTGTAAATCCCGATAGAAGAATCTGAAAAAGACAATTATGTTAAAAGTATACTTACATGATCAACTATATTATGTCGGAAAGAATATGTTTTCTATTGCATAAAAAAACTAAAAAATTGGTTTAAAATTTTACAAAACAATCTGATGTTCTTGTAATATTCACATACATGTTTATATCAAGAACATATATGGAGAGGGTAGATGGCGTTTTTTTTTTTTTCAATTCCTAGACCCACTATTTGGTGTACTGATAGACTGCTGAAAAAGAGGCACTATTTTTAAAAATTTTGCATCGACAAAAAATAGATTGAAAAGTTTCTCTCTAGCGAAAATACAATACAACAATTTCAACATTGGGAATTGAAGATTCTTTGGGTGTTCATAATAGACACATATGACATTTGGGTAAATTCTGAATATTAACATTTTTCACAACGTTAATAGTTGTTAGATTTTAAGACATGGACCTGGCGTATTTGGGTAATATGGACGCACGAAACATTTTACAATAGTGGGGATCGGCAACATGTTATATTTATGCTAAAGCAAATAATTCGGTATCTCTCTTTGGGTATCTATTTATGAATTCTATATTTATATTTATGCTAAAGCAAATAATTCGGTATCTCTCTTTGGGTATCTATTTATGAATTCTATTCTACCATCACCGCCTGCAGATAGCTGATAATAAAGTATTTAATAGATTTTAAGTTTAATATGCCTCGTTTACTTACATAAATCCCAGCGTTCCATCAATGAAATTCCAACTTTCATCTCCCATCAATGAGTAGTTCAATCGAAAAAGCGCAAAGCTTAGGACAATAAAAGGTACGATAACATGCAAAATAGTTTTTAATTTTCCATTCTTGTTGAAGACAAGAACTGCTGGTGCTAGCAATATCACAGGATACAAGTTACGGTGTGACTCAATCACAGCAGCAAACAGAAACATAAGCAGATGATGATCTATCAAACCGTATAAAGCCAAAGAAAGTAACAAATTACTAAAAACGGTCGATGTCAAGCCGGCAGAATTGAAAATGGACAATGGATTAAAAAGGTATGCCATTAATACCAGAAATGGTATGGTACTCTCATCGCTCTGATGATACTGCAACTCCTCAGTATCTTTTGCATAATGTACTAATTCTGCACATTGCACCGTAAGTTTTCTGCGTACAAACACTTTACTAGCTTTGTAAAGAACGCATGCAGTACAAATGTCTATAAGAACATATAAAAATGGCAGCCAATGTTTCAAGTATTCTGCAGCAAATGTAAGAAACCAAAGTACAACAGGAATTTCATGAACCATGTCTCCATCGTATGGATTGACTCCTTGCTTGAGGAGATAAACGCCTTCATTTACTGAAAAATAAAAAACACGGTTAATCTGAACGCCCGGTAGAAACATGCATACACACCTCTTTTGAATGAATTTAGTGGCGTAGCAATCTCAACGCGATTTCCTAGTATATGAACCCATTCGCTGGTGCATAAATACAAACGTATGGCTGCTCCTAATATTAGCCATTTTATGATATGTTTGTCCATATTTTATTTATTTTTCTTTTTAGATTTTTTTCGTTTCACAGGATAAACAAAAGTTACAAAGATATGGACAGCTGATTTGATATCGATTGCTCAACTTTTATCGATATGAGTCGCAATTGAACGCAACAAACCGTCTGATTACATATTAGGCCTGTCTAGTCGTTTACAATTGTCTTGTTTATTGCAAATCATGGTAGAAGAATTCATCGTTGTTTCGCTTGGAAAATTTTAAAGTGTGTTTATAAATGTTTTCTTATACGACACAAATGGGAGTTGTTGTGATATGCAGTTTGCAAAAATTTTTAGAAATTTCAAAAACTTTTCATTCAAAGATTTCAATGATCCAGTAGCTATGTCAATGCGACTACCTGTATTCTTCTACCGTATATACCACCACAGTAATTGTAGTTCCATTCATGGTACAATGAATTCAAGGTAGGGCAGAACTACCATATGATTTAAATTTTTTTATTTTTCTGGCTTAATATGTCAACTTCATTTGCTTATGTGTGTGTTTTCTTTTCAATAATAAAAAAATGTTCAGAAAATATTCAAATTCGGGTGTTTTCAAAATGCTTATTGCAACGAATGCATCGACAAAATTTACAGTTTTTGTCGCGAAATAAACTAAAAGATATATAGAACATGATATTCAAAAGAAATTTTGACCATTCATTCAGTTTTCGCGGTTTTAAATTATTTATTCAAAATCAATGCAACAATTGTTTGCTTTTTTATTGTTTTGATAGTAATTCTGACATTACAAGCCAAACAGGTAGACCTCTATACTTGCAATTTTTTCAAAGTTGACCTACCTTCTCTTCATTGTACCATGGTTCCATTGATATTTTGTTGTAAAGGATATATTTAATATTAGACTTTTGGAAGACATATTTACATTCATAGAACGCGTTAATAAAATTGTTAATTCTTTAGATTATAATTCGTTTACAGTTAACCGGATTTTATAAGCCCTTTGGCAAAGGCATAAAACTATGAAGATTGGACAAAAAGCATATTGCCGTTAAATGTCTGGAACAGCTAATAAATGGCCGACGACATGAAAATAATGCATTTCAAATATTAAGGAAATATGTTATACCGAAATCACAGAAAATGTCGGCGAAAAGCATCATATATGATAGATATCGTGTCAACAATATATTTCAGAGCATTTCCTTTCACATTGAACCGACAAATTTCGGCGAAAATATTATAAAAGTGTCAGCTCTGTTAAATTATAACATACGGGCATGTGGCAAACTCATATTGGAATCGTTTGAATTCCGTCATTCAAAATCGTTCGTTTTTGTTTTGGCTCTTCAGATTTCGTACGATTTGTTGAACTACGAATTCAGTGTAGATATGGCAACATTAAATATTCAATATGGTAACATTAGGGGGAATGAATGAGGAATCAAAACAAAACACATGATTAGAAAACATTGTAGAAGTGTAAAATGCGAAAAATATTCTGTTAAAAAGATTTTTTTGTGCAAAAAGAAACATTGCGTAATACCACATTGTTATTTTTTCACAGAGGAATAATCTTTGTTTGCAGAAAAAAGTGGCTTTCAAGAAAAAAATGATATGGCAACACTTTGTTAACAATTGGATTCGCCAATTGAGAAACCAGTAATATTTGCTAATTATTTTAAATAAAAAGATAAAAATTGTAAATTTAATTGTGTATTTCTCATTTTAATTACTTAGAAGTGTTTTCCGAGTGCTTTAAATTTATAATTTTCCTTAAAAAAATACAATTTCACTTGCAAAAAAAGTGGTTTCAAACTGAAAAAAATGTTGTGTTTTCTGGAGAAGCTAAATCACATTCGTACGGATTTCGTTCCTGTGACATGCCTGATAATGCTATGACACAATATGTGGGTATAAAAAATTACAAAGAACCTTTATCTATTATATCTCTATGCTAGTGGATTTAATTTGCCAGATTCATAAAAATTCAAATAAAACAGGTCGCCGTATGGACACAGCTGCTGGTACAATGTAAGGAATTTCAATAAAAAACTATTTGTAAAAATTGTTGAACAATTCATATCATAACAACCTCAACATTTTAAAAATTGACATACCAACGTTCCAAAGCATTGATGCATCTACCTGCGTTCTTAAAATAAAAAAACACTTCATAAAGGCAATAAACACAGCAAAATATCTAATGTAAACATAACATTACACTCTTACCCCAGCCTAACAACAAAACAAAGGTGCTTGTCTTATACCATAAGTTGTGTTCCAGTACTTTTTTAGCAGTAAATCTAGCAGAAGATAGAACAGTTCGAAATGTCATTCTCATTTAGGTGTGCTCAAAAAATAAGGAAATGGAAAATTAGCAGAAATGCGATAAAATGTCAAAATTGCAAAAGCAAACATTCTAAATCGGACTGGTGAAACCTTACTGAAAAGGACGACAACATTTAAAAAAATGATTATTGAAAACGATAAGTTAAAATTAATAATCTATAATAATAATTAATAATCTGATTCCCCATTCAGCCAGTCCTCTTCACTGCTGGAATCATCCAAAAGTGAATGCATCAGTTGCTTCATACTTTCTCTTTTGGTTTTTTTGCACGACAAATATTGGTTTTTCTTTAGTTTTTAAGTTGATCATTTTCTTCATTTTTGTTGTGACGCGCGAACATTGAAATGTATCAATACATTTTCAACCTTGTTAGCCCTGCCAGATTAATATAAAATTTAAAATATGCACATTTCTGCTCGGACAAATTCATGTAGCTAAAACAAGCGGAAATGTGCACCACTCAGCGCCATATTTTTCTCGAGAGAGCTGCAAGTTTGGCTAGTTTTTGGAGTACGGGAACGCGTTGTAGCAGAATTAGTACAAATAAGTACTAATTTGTAGGTTCTGGAACACAACTTTTGTTATGAATCCTCCAATAATCCACTATTATTGCAATTTTCTTCGATATCAAAAAAATAAAATTGGCTATCACAGTAAAAACTTTTATATTCTTGCAGTTCTGGAACAGACCAATAATGTTGTTATTGTAAAATGTTAGTTGTTGTAGTTCATGCATACACCTTATGAATACACCTTGGAACAACAGTTAAGTTACAACATGGTACAATGAAGAGAAGGCATGCTAATTTTGAATACATTGCAAGTATAGAGGTCTACCTGTTTGGCTTGTGATGTCAGAATTAGTATCAAAACAATAAAAAATCAAACAACTTGTTGCATTTACTTTGAATAAATAATTTAAAACCGCGAAAACTGAATGAAAGGTCAATATTTATTTTCAAAATCATGTTCTATATATCTCTAAAGGTTTATTTCGCTACAAAAACTTCTACGAAAACTACGATTTTATCGATGCATACGTTGAAATAAACATTTTGAAAACACCCGAATTTAAATATATTCTAAACAATTTTTTGTTATTGAAAAGAGGACACGTACATAAACAAAAAAAGTTGACATATTAAGCCAAGAAAATAAAAAATTAAAATCATATGGCATCATAGCCCTACCTTGATTTTATTGTACCATGAGTTACAATAAGTTTTTACTACGATTGCAACACTTGTATATACTTGCAGGTTCTGGAATGGAGGACTTATTATCAAATTTCCAGAGATGGAAATCTAGTTTTTATGCAGTGAAATTTGACAAGGTAAATACTAGTATATTCTTGCAGGTACTGGAACAGACCATAAATTTTTCTTGCATATTTTATGTGGCGTTTCCACTGCACTTGATTCGCTCTCTATTCGTTGTTTGACCCTTATAGCATGTTTCCATTGAAAACCGAACAACGTTGTTCGCTCTCAGAATTAGGTACACGGATTAACCCGTTCATACGGCACAATTCGTAATTCATAGTAAAATAATTCATTTTTTCAAAAATTTTGTTTGTTGATTTTAATGGGAATTTATACTAAAATACATTAAATTCTCAGTAATATGAGTAGAAGAAATGATTGTTTTCCTCCCAAAGATTTACTATATCATTAATTTTATAATTTTCATTCACGTTTTCAACTTTTTGTGTAAATGTTGACATTTTTAACATATTTTTGTATTTTTCTGTTTTTTAATTTTGCTGGAGAGACACTTGTCAAACATTTTTTCTGCCGATACAAACATTTTGAAAATATTGCCTCTTTTGTTTCCAGTTTCCTGTGGAAATTTCAACTCGTGGACAAAATGCGTACCTCGGATGAGAGAGAAAACAAAATTTACTTTCGTTTGAGTGTACATACGCTATTCTACATTGTAGTTTTCATTCATAATTTTGAGTCTTCCCAAAAATTATCAAAATTTCATTAAATTTTTCTATTTTCAATTTTTAAATGTCATAATTTATTTTTTCGATAAATGCTCTCATTTGTTAGGGATGGGACACATTTTTTCGTTGTTCTGAGAGTGATTTGATTTGAACAATGTACAAATATGAGTGTTCGCTCAGGAAATTTTGTGTGAAGAATTAAGTAGGTTTTTCATAGTTAAGGGTCAAACAACGAATAGAGAGCGAATCAAGTGCAGTGGAAACGCCACATTAACTATGAAAAAACTACATTATTCTTCACACAAAATTTCCTGAGCGAACACTCATATTTGTACGTTGTTCGAATCAAATCACTCTCAGAACAACGAAAAATATGTCCCATCCCTAACAAATGAGAGCATTTATCGAAAAAATAAATTATGACATTTAAAAATTAAAAATAGAAAAATTTAATGAAATTTTAAAAATTTTTGGGAAGACTGAAAATTATGAATGAAAACTACAATGTTGAATGGCGTATGTACATTCAAACGAAAGTACATTTTGTTTTCTCTCTCATTCGAGGTACGCATTTTATCCACGAGTTGAAATTTCCACAGAAAACTGCAAACAAAAGAGGCAATATTTTCAAAAAGTTTGTATCGGCAGAAAAAATGTTTGACAAGTGACTCTCCAGCAAAATTTAAAAATAGAAAAATACAAAAATATGTTCAAAATGTCAACATTTACACAAAAAGTTGAAAACGTGAATGAAAATTTTAAAATTAATTATATAATAAATCTTTGGGAGAAAAACAATCATTTCTTCTATTCATATTAGTGAGAATTTCATGTATTTTCGTATAAATTCCCATTAAAATCAACAAACAAAATTTTTGAAAAAAGGAATTATTTTACTATGAATTACGAATCGTGCCGTATGAACGGGTTAATTCGTGTACCTAATTCTGAGAGCAAACAACGTTGTTCGGTTTTCAATGGAAACATGCTATTAAATACGATACCACCATGTTAAAAAGAATAAAGGTAGATGTCTCAACGCTTAGTCTAACAGTTTAAAATGTTTTCTATTTTTAAATAAGTAAATTTTTGTATGCTTTCTTATACGACGTCAATCGGAATTTGTAGTGATATGCATTTTTTATTCTCATTGTCAAAATATATATTTATAAATCCATCGTAAATACAGAAATCGGAAATAGAAAACTAGTTGTTTTGCAGTGAAATCTGACAAGGTAAATTACAGAAAATGCAGAGATGGGTATGCTTATTTGAAATTACTTTACCTTCTTAATTTTAGTATGGTCTGTTCCAGATCATGGTATAATAATTTCAGGTAACAGCAAATCCCAGCTGATTTGACTCTGTAGTAATATTAGTATCAAATTCAATTTGATGTTTTGTGATTTAATTCCGTAACTTGATTCGGGGGCAATGTGAACATATTTTTGTTTTGATATGTATTGTATAAAATTTTAAAATTTTGAACGCCATATTTACATTTATAATAAAATGTTTCAATTTTTTTGATTATAATTCGTTTATTGTTTACCGGATTTGTAAGCCCAGTGGTAAAGAAATAAAACTAAAAAATTGGACAAAATGTATGTTACCGTTTAATGTCTCGATCAGGAAGTAGATGGCCGACGACATGCAAATAATGCATTTTAAATATTACAGAAATATGTTATGCCGAAATCGCCGCAAAATTGGGAAAAACAGCGGAGATTGTTTGATCAAACTGTGAGGAAACATAAGTTTATTTGGCAGAGAGAAATAGACAGAGAGAGTGAAAGAGAGACATAAAGAAAATGTAGTTTCGGGTATCATTTATTTGGAGAAGGGAAGCAAAAGAACAGCTGCTGTGGAATAAATTCCTTGTCAGAACAATTTTTTTTGCATTTTTGTTTGTATCATGGTAGAAGAATACAGGTAGTCACATCGACATAGCTGCTGGGACAATGAACTGTTAAAACAATTTTGGAATTGAAAATAATGAATGAAATATTATTGAAATTTGTAAAAACTGTTGAAAAATATATATCATTGCAAACTCCGATTTTTCGTTCTATAGGACAACATAAAAATCTACTTATTTTTGTCAAAACATTTCAAAATTTTTGACTTATCATTGTTTCAAGCGTTGATGCATCTACCCATATCCTGTTCCAGAACCTGCAAGAATCTACTAGTTTCGCAACTTTCTTCGATAAAATAAAGGGAGAATCGGTTATCGTAGTAAAAACATTTACATTCTCGCAGTTCTGGAACAGACCAAATATAAACATATTTTACTAAACATTCAAATTCAGTTAATTCAAAAATATCAAATAAACAAAACCAGTTATTGCATTCCTTCGTTTTTCTATTCATTAAAAATCATGCTACAAATGCTCCTGTTCTTAAAGCAAAATGCTGCCCAATGTTTTAAACTGATATTTTTCCTTGTTTGACCTTACAAAACATTTGCATCGTCAAATAAATGTTTGACCAAAAAATAGGAAAATAATTGATCATATATGTTCACATTATGAACACATTGGTCAAATTTTTGTTTTCCAGCAAATAATTTTGTTTTCCCAAAATCAGCTGTTTTTGTATTTGCCGTCAAATAATATTTGGTGGTCAGATTGTGACAAAGAAATATTTCACATTTTTCGTCAAATGTTTGCCCAATGTGACCTTACCTTAAGAGCGTAAAAGTTGTTACTGCGATAACCTGTTTTCCCTTTATTATATCTGGGTAAATTGCAAAAGTTGTAGATTCTTGCAGGTCCTGGAACAGATCATTTGATTAATTTCGATGAAAAACTATTAGTAAAAATGCAAGTATTGGTCTGTTCCAGAACTGCAAGAATGTAAAAGTTTTTACTACGATAACCGATTTTCCCTTTATGATATCGAAAAAAATCAATACTAGATTGTATTGGACTATTTATCAGTTTTTTCCACGGATTTATTCTACATTAGTAGTAGTGCCTGTAAGAGAGACGATTGGTGGAGGTGATAGTAGTGTATATCTTCTAACATTGGATATATCCATGGCAGAATACAGGGAGATGCATCAACGCTTGGGAGCATTGATATGTCAATGAATTGTAAATGTTTTTTTTTCAAATATAAGTCGATTTTTATATGTTTTCTTATACGACGTCATTCGGAGGTTATTATAATCCGCTTTTTTCAACAATTTTTGCAAATTTAACTAATTTTCATTCAAAATTTTCAATTCCAAAATTGGTTTGACAGTTCATTGTCCCAGCAGCTGTGTCGATGCGTCTACCTATATTCTTCTACCATGGATATATCCAAGGCATTCAACAGAGAATGCGACATCTGTCGTTATTCAGTAAGACAGCACAAATCTTAAAACTTTGCATTCTTCTTGAACAGACCAAACGTTAATTTATGATACAGAACTGCAAAAATGTACAACATTTACTACGATAACTAATTTTTCCTTTATGATATCGGAAAAGACTCCAATTCTAGTATATTCTTTTAGAATCTGGAACAAAAGAATTATAAACATTTTAAGACTCTTGCTCTCTAACTGAATAACGACAGGTTCTCTGTTCCCAAATCTACATGAATTTGTTTGTTTTGCTATTTTATCATGAAGGGAAAATCGGTTATTGCATTAACATTTTTACAAGTTCTGGAACAGAAAATGGTATTGAATCATTTCTATGGGATAAAATCATTTCCCCTGATGCGGCCATACCATTTAATATGCTTGGGTTGAGAATCGATATCTCCGATTAATCGATAAGTCAGAAGTCGATCTATATATCCCAAGTTCATACAAATTAAATGTCAAATGTTTGTTTACCTTTGTAACGCGTGTTTGTTTTTTGGTTGAAATATCAAACTAAGAATTGATTAAGATATTTATGAACATTACAAAAAATACAAGAAATATGCCAGCGGTAAAGCAGGAGCTAAAAATTGAGGACAAACTCCAAGACATAAATCAAACTCTCTTAAAATTAACATCAGAACCAGACCTATATCTCATGCAAGTATTTGTTGGTTTTACAGGCACGTGTTTCAGAAACGAATAAAATGTTTTTAATATCAATTTCTTTTCGAATAAAACAGAGCGCAGCCTAAAAAATGCAAGGACATACGGAAAATGTTGCAGCAGTTGTATGGTATCACGATAGAAAGTGATATCAAGCAACTCGGGAACCCGGAAATTTTGCCTGATTTGGTGGTAGATGATATGGATGAAGAACAAATATGGCAACAGTTGGAGCTGCGAAATAGTGCTGTTCTGAATGAGTTGATAAATACAACAGCAAACTTAATGGCGCTGCGGGAACAGAAATTAGAAATAAGACTAAAAGAGGACGATGAATCGAACGCAGAGGAAGAGGAGGATGAAGATCCAAACGAAATGGAAGGGCATAATGATGAAATGGATCAAGATATAGAAGAGAGTGCTAGTGAAGAGGAAAATGGTGACGAAGAAGAAGACGACGAAGAAGAGGAAGATTTGTTTAAATCTAAAAAGCATAATGCAAGGAAATTGGAACGTACTTCCGTTGTTGATGACAAGTTTTTTAAACTTGATGAAATGGAGGCTTTTCTTGAAGCCGAAGAGGCTAAAGAGGCCAGGAAGGAAAAGGGAACGTTTTTGGCAACTGATGATGACGGAATTGATTACTTCGACGAAGACTTGGGAGAAGAAGCAGAGGACGATTCTGATGACGAATCCAATCCTAATTACAAAGATTTCTTTGACGATGAAGGTGAAGAATATGAAGAAAAAGAGACACCTAAATATAGAAAAAAAGAAAAAGATCACTTTGATGAAAATCTGGAAGAAGGAGATGAGTTAGAACTAGATGAGAATGAAAATGATGAAGAAGAAAGTGGTGATGAAAATGATTTTAATGAGAGTCACGAGGAATTTGATGACGAAAACATAAACAAGCAAGACAAACTGTCATTTGGGCCAGCCGATTCGGATACGGGAGATTCTGATTCCGACGTAGAAACGAAGGAAGAAGGTCCAAAATCCTCATTTGAAGTAAGGCAAGAGCGACTGGAGCAACGCATACGCGACTATGAGGAAGAAGTTTTAGGTGAAAAGCCTTGGCAATTAAAGGGCGAAGTTCAAGCGACAAATCGTCCACAGAATTCCTTGCTTGAAGAAGTTTTAGAATTTGAATCGACTGTGAGACCCGCTCCCATTATTACTGAAGAAACCACTCGCCGTCTGGAGGATATAATTAAACAGCGAATCAAAGATAAAGCTTGGGATGATGTCGAGCGTACTGTTAAACCAATACATACACCACAGGAGTATCGGAAACAATTAGTTTTAGATCAAGAGAAATCTAAGGAATCACTAGCTCATATTTATGAAAAAGAATATCAACAAGAACTGGAAAAACTCAATCCCAGTCAAGGAGATAACACATCGGAGGAACCTAAGGAGCACAAAGAAATTCGTAACATGATGAGAGATTTATTTGTTAAACTCGATGCCCTTTCCAATTTTCATTTCACACCAAAACCTGTTGCGCCAGAACCGAAAATTATTACCAATACTCCCGCTGTGGCTATGGAAGAAGTCGCGCCAGTGGCGGTTAGTGATGCCAAACTATTGGCACCTGAAGAAGTTTTCCGTGGTCCCAAACATGAACTAGTTGGCAAATCTGAGCGTAGTAAGACTGATAAGAATCGTGCTTTACGTAAGAAGAAATCTAAGCAGAAGGCCATTCACCATGCCCTCGAAGCCAGAGATTTACAAAAGCAAAAAATGGGCATACCATTGTCAAAGAAGGAGGAAAGTGCAAAATTAATGAAGAAGTTGACAAAACAACGAAATGTGGAAAAGGTAAGAATTCTTTGGCATATGTTATCATTATGGTGCTGGCCCTGTTACGGATATTATAAAGCCTATAATATCCAAAATAATTTAAATATAGCAGCTTGATAGTTCTGCTAAAACACTGCATTAATTCTGGCAACGTAGCAAGAAGCCACGACAAAATAGAACGATTACATTGCCTGTCTAAGCACCAGCTACGTACATTCATCTTCCTTCTTTATAGAGAAAATCGATCAAATTGTTATTTACCAAGGACTTGAATTCGTGTCTTTCAAGTAGGTTTTCCTAAGCATAACCACCATAAAATATGTTTTAAATTCAACATCCACCATTTATAGTTCTGGAATCTGCGATGATAGAAGAATGTGTTTTCTCTATATACATAGCTTTCAAGTTTTACTGTAGTGTTCAGGAAATGAAGAAGGAGAATAATAGTATATCATGGCTTCGAGACTAGAAGTGAAGGGCATCGAAAATGCATTTTATATTTTTAGATTAAGTTCTATGTATATATATCCGCTTTTTACGAATATATCTAGTTCTAGGTTCACTTCTCGTGTTCACGAAGTGAAGAACGTAGACCAATAAACCTCATTTTCCATAACGGTTGGTATGCAAATTATGCTCTACGTCACATTATATGGGTTGTGTTTTGATTTCTACAGACAAACGAACAGCTTTAATACAGTATCATACGAATATTAGAAGGTGATACAAAGTGAATGGTAAATGCAATATACTGTCCTTTTCCTGTTAATTTTTTAATTTAAATTTAGTTTTAATGCCCTCCGAGTAGTAGTAATATTGATGCTTTGTGTAAATGTACTTATCAGCAAGGCTCTAATGCAATTTTAAATACAAATAAATTAAAAATTTAAATAAATTTATTTCAGGTCACCGCCAGCAACGATCATGGGGCTTTGAAATCTTCAAAGGCATTCTTCTCTAAACTGCAGGATCAGTCGGCAGCCAACAATGGATCCACAAAAGCAAACAAAAAGAAACAGGATGCCAAAACTCAATCAGCTAAAAAATTAAAGCTGTAGTTATATTGTCATAATAACGTTGTTTCTTTATTTGTTAATTTAAGAAAGCCTAATAAAATTAAATACTTGTATATTTTATATATAACATAAAAAAATAACTAAAAATAATGTTAGCAATGTGAAAAAAAACCCACGGCAATGCATAATGATAGGGCTCATTATCTTCATTACGTGCCTGTTGACATGAGATATAGAGGCATTCACGAACATCAACAGACTTTAACTTCTATGTATGAGACCTTTAGTATCCGGTACCCCATTTAACAACTAATTTTACGCATAAATGTGACGTCAAAAGTTGCAAAAAGCATCATTTACTTGTTAACGTCGCTATAAAAGTTGCTGTCTGTATGTGTACACACTTCTATGAAATGGGTTACGAATGTATGTAAACATGCAGTAGATACAACCAAAGGTCATACTCAAAGGAAAATGGACCCCCACACAGTCACGTGACACAATGAAACAATTATCGCCATAAAAACTTGAGCATGTCTATGTGATATTTGAATTAGGACATTGAAAATAACCCATGTGTCGTTTGTGAAATCCTTCCTAAATTTCTGCTTGTTATTTATTGTTCATTCATAATTTTTCATTCGGCTATAACTACGACCACCTAGCGAGAAAATTCTTTAGAATAGAATACGTAAAAAATTATATTGGGAAAACATGCTCATTGTTTAGTAACCGACCGTATAGTTGCGTCTATTTACATATACTAATCCAACATCCTACGCAATTCAAAAAACCAGCAATGGTCTTCCAGATAAAAATTACAAACACGTGTAATCAATCCTAAACATCATATCTGTGCATTTATTTCCATATGGAATAATACACTTTATTAACAATTCATTTGGAAAGTTCATATCCATTATAGTATCAATGGATTCAATATGTAGCAATTACAATTGCATCTCAATGAGCACTATGAAGGAATAATTTATTCATCCGCTTCGTTATGGTTATGATAATACTTAAAAAATTTATAGCACATATAAACATGTATATTGCCAATAGTTCTTTACAGTGAAATGCGTACAGCGAACAACAGATTTGTTAAATGATATTCAATTTACACACTTTTGCAGTTATACTAAATAATAAACTCTGTTTTACACTTTCGGTTCATTACACTAGGATTCCAAGGGCGCCTACTCTCGACAGGGTGCCCCTCATGACAGCATTAAGAAATTCTGTTAACACAATACCTGCCTCTTACAGATAGAGCCATCCCAATCACCATCTGGTGGATAGGCAACCTCCGCCCAGACACGTAATGAAAGACCTTCTTAATAGAGAGAGAGAGAGGTACAGACGTATAAGAAAGAGTCTCTAGATCAGCTCTGACTCTGACGCGATCTCAAAAAGGATAGTGAATAACGAACGACAAACCCGAGTATTTTTGGCACAGTTAAGATACGGATGATGCAGCCTTTTTTTTGGGTCCGAATTGACAGCTATGTAAAGAACATCAGCCAAGCTTGTGGCACAGGCCCTCATGACACGCTGCACTCATTTCGCTGACCAGCCAAACCTACTTAACTCCAATGTCGTTGTGGATCCAACCCATAAAAGTTGCATTATTCTTGAGGCTGGAAATTGTGGCAGTAACATTGAAAAGACCGAAAATCAGGAGGTATTGTTATATGTGGGCTATACCAATTAGTGTAGCTGTAGTGAATATATTTTTTAGGAAGATGCTATACCTACTACTAACCCCAAAAGTAAAGTTTCACGTTATTTGGTTGGAAATTGTGGCAGAAACAGTAAAAATACCGAAAATCTAAAGGTACCGTTATGTGGTGGGGGCTATAACTAATCGTGGACTCATATAGCCCATTTTCAATACCAATCAGCCTACATATCATATAAACCTTTGTGCCAAATTTCAAAGCTCTAGATTAAATAATGTTGTTGTTGTTGTAGCAGTAGTACATGTATGTGTTTGCGTTCTGCTAATCTGGTTCCAGCTCCAGGTTTAGAAATTCGGCTACTTTAATGGGCTTCAGCCAGAGATCTTCGGGAGTGAGTTGGGTAGGTTTGGCTGTGCAATTAAAGAGGTGTAGCGTATTGTGCGGGCCTGTATCGCACGCCGGGCAGGCGTCACGCACATCTTCATCAATTCGTGCCCAATACGAATTGAGACGACTACACCATCCTGAACGTAATTGCGCCAAAACTACTACTACCCAAAACTACCCTTCAGCTGCAATGGATGGGGGGTGGACTCCGAGGACGGCATTCACTTTGAAACTGCTAATAGCATCCGCGACTGCATCGGGCAGCGTTCTGGCAGGGCTGGATATGCTTCCACTGCGTAGCACTAGTATTCGCAGACCACACTGGAGCCGCATAGCTGACCACAGACCGACCTATCGCGTTATAAGAGGTCAACAACGTTATTTTGTCCGCACCCCAAGAGCTGCCGGCTAGCGCCTTAAGGACCTTGTTCCTACTTTTCATCTTGTCGCAGATAGCTGTGGCTTGCGTGGACGACTTGAACATGCTGAACGTGACCCCAAGAATCTTGGGGTAGTTCGTGGTCGGTATTAGATCCCCCTCGACCTGAACATTCAGCTGTGTTCTCATCTCCGTAGACCATGTGGTGAAGAGTGTGGCCGTTGATTTCGTGGCGGATATTTTCATATTCCTCGCGTGGAAGTATGCGGCAAGCTCCGTGAGATAGGGGTTCAACCTTTCGCATATGTCATCGACCACTGGACCCGACGATGATCGTACAATCATCCGCATATGTTACGATCTCAGTGCCGTCTGGAGGGCGTGGAATTCCGGAAAGGTAGAGGTTATACAGTTCCGGAGATATCACCCCACCTTGGGGAACTCCCTGTTTCACTCTACGGGCTTTGGACTTCTTGTTCCGGAATTCCACGTACGACTGGCGTCCATACATATAGTTGATTATCCAACGTTTCAAGCTTGGCCGGAGGGTAGTTCTCTGCACGTCCTCGAACAGTGTGGCATGATTGACCGTATCAAATGCCTTTGATAGGTCAAGGGCTACCAACACTGTTCTGTCACACGGCCTGTTCTGGTTCAGTCCTCTACTAATATGTGTGGAAATGGCGTGTAATGCTGTTGTAGTACTATGTTGTGTACGGAATCCGTGCTGGTGGTTGGCAACTGTATAGCTTCCTCTAATGCTGGGGAGGAGTAAAGCCTCAAGAGTCTTTGCTACTGGCGGCAAAAGCGAAATCGGCCTGTACGATTCGCCTTTACTGGCATCCTTGCCTGGCTTCAGTAGCGGGACCACCCGGCCCATTTTCCAGGTTTCGGGCACTATGTGGGTGGCTAGCGACAAATTGAAAACGTTCGTTAAGTACTCGACTCCCGGCGTATCCAGCTGCCTCAACATTACCATTGATATTCCGTCTGGGCCCAACGCTTTGGATGACTTAGCGTTACGGATGACATTTGCAACATCACCCATCGTAAACTGCGGTGGTTCCTCCTCGGCGGGAAGAGATCTGATACGACGTAGTACTCTTCGCTTCGCCCTATCGCTCTCGGGGTGCTCGACAAATTGTCGATTAAAATATTCCACGCACCTCTTCAGATCAGTCACCGTTACGTCGTTAAAAGTGACTGAGGTCCTATCATCCCTTTTTCCAGGGTTCGAGAGCGACTTAACCGTTACCCACAGCTTACTCATATCGGTTCCAATGTTGCAGCACTTCAGATGGTCTAGCCACTTTTTCCTCTTATGCTCCTGTACCAACCGGTTGACTTCCACTGTCAAATCACTGATTCTAGGATCAGAAGGGATGATGCGACGGAGATCATCACGCTCGTTTGCTAATCCCGCTGCCTCTGCTGGGAAGTTTGGTCTTATCTCGGGTATTCGACCAGCAGGTATATAGCGAGCGGCTGCAGCTTTGATGATGTTTCGGAAAATCCTTTCTGCTACCCGAACATCAGAAGGGTTGGGCAGTTCTCTGAAGCGGCGGTTGGTGAATTCTCTGAACTCTGGCCAGTGAGCTTTGAGCCATGGTTAAGGAAAGTGCGGCGTTCAGAGGTTATGAAATCGGGCGACCTGCTTATGGAGACGATTATCGGGAGATGGTCTGAGCCAAGAGAAATGACGGGTTGCCAAGTCACGTCATTTATCAGACCGGGTGACACTATGGTTAAGTCTGGCGAACTGTGACACTCTCCTCTTATTCGGGTGGGGGAATCCTCGTTAACCGTGCAGAATGTGGAGCAGTCAATCTGCTCTGCCAGCGCTGATCCCCTCTTGTCATTACCTAGGACGGAATGCCACAACTCATGGTGGACATTAAAATCCCCTAGTACCAGGCGGTTATTGCCTACCAATAATGGGCTAATATCAGGCAAATAACGCGGTTCACAGCTATTAATCGGCACCTCTACCAGGGCAGTTCCACACTTGACTGCTACCCCCATACATTCCATGTATGGGTCACTAGAGACTAGCTCAAGCGAGATAGGTCTGTACTGAACAGAATAGTGTAACAGGAACGCTAATCCCCCACCTCCCCTTCTGGTTGTAGGCTGCAATTTTCATTCAGCTTGGTTTCCTGCACCGCTGCGATCTTAATATTCCTCCGACTCATAAATTCCACTATCTCATCTATTTTGCCTCGAAGTCCGTTGCAATTGAATTGCAAGAATACTGCACAATTCGGAGTTGGAAGAGCAACATGTGGCGTTAGGTGCTGCGGTGTTGGTTGCTGTTCTGGAGACTGCGGTGGAGTGCCATACTCCGCCGACGTCTCAGATGAGGACGACGAAGAAGTGGACTCGCTGGGGACTACGTTACTGCAGCAAGTCGCAACATAATCCCTTTCGCTGTAGCCTCGCAAACGCCTTAGTCCGGAACAGTTCTTGAAGTGCACCAATTCTCTGCATCCATTACATCGCACCGAAACAGATCTGTGGTGGATGACGTTCTGACAAACCGAGCAGAACCAAGGTCCGAGGTTTTCCTCAATCCCGGCACGGACCAATAAAATCCGGAGCAAGCATTCCGGGATATGCTGCTCCCAATGCAGAAAAATAAACAAACACAAACATGTACATACTGGGTTGGCAGCCGCTGGCCGAAACTGGGATCTTGTTGTTTCGGGTCAATCCGGTATCGTAGAACCCGCTGCCGTGGGATTGATTAAATAATGTAG